GCATGCATGCAATGAGCAGCACTGCGCAGAGATGGGGTTTCATGTCAGATACCTGCCTCAGCCGGTATGGTAGAGATAGACATTTGAGTGACTTCTGAAGGAGAGGCAGATTTTGAGCAAGCTTTTGAAAGGAGGGAGGGCATTTTAAGCAAAGGATTTAATGCTTAAAGAATGACCATGGGATGTCAGAAAACAGAGGCCCTTGTAATGTGGTTTGTTGGTAGATACGGAGACAGTGGAGGTCAGCTGCAGCCAGGGTGGGGAGGATCTTGTCCCGTGTTCTGCCTGTTGTGTTCATGATGTCGCTCTTGGGAGACTTTGTAGGGTTTTGGAATAGAGGATAAAGTGATTGTTGGGAAGTTAAGCTGAAAAAGCTTTAGCTCAGTTTGTTCATTAGATTCCACATATGAGTGAAATGATTTGTCATTCTCTGACTGGCTTATTTCACTTAGCACAATGTATTCCTGGTCCATCCATGCTGTTTCAAAGGGTAAAATTTTCTTCTTCTTCTCTTTTTATGGCCAAGTACTACTCCATTGCGTAAATGCACCATAGCTACTTATCCACTCGTCTACTGATGCACATTTGTGCTGTTTCCAGATCTTGGCGATTGTAAATAACACTGCAGTGAACCTAGGGGTGCCTGTGTTCTTTCAGATTAGTGGTTCGAGGTTTTTGGTTGGAAGGTATATTGATGCAGTTGCTATGGAAAGCAGCATGGAGTTACTTCAAAAAACTAAAAATGGAACCACTTTGCCACCCAGCAGTTTCACTGCTGGGAACTTATCCAAAGAAAATCAATATTGTTTATCACATTTTATTATTTTCTTCAGAGTACTTATCTGAAATTTTGTGTTTATTTGTGTGAGGCCCCTCCTTCTTGCTGACATTTATTCTCCTTGAGATCAGGGACCTTGCACTTATCGTTCACACCTGCACTCCTTGACACGTTGTTGGCACTAACGTATGTTTGTGGAGTGAATCAATGAGTGCATAAATGTATACTTAGTAGGGACTAGTAGGCCTGTGCTGGGTTCTAACACATAAGAGAAAAAAATTCAACATTATCTCTGTTTTCTGCCATTCCATTAGATACTATACATATATGGTGAATACTAAAATTTGATTCTTTTCTTCATGTATATTTTTCCAAATGAGGCATTTTTATTTCTTAAAATGTCTTCACAAAAGAATGCCAGCTTTTGCTGATTTGCTATTTCCCTAGGTTACACTTAAAAAATTTAAAAAATTGTGTAAAAAATTTTATGTAAAATATTCTTATGTGTAAAAATACACCATTTTCTTAATTGGACTGCCATGCTCTAAACATTTTTTAACGCAGCATCGGTCTCTGAGGAGCTGTGACCATACCATCTAAGTAGATCCACCTTATGTTCTGTGATACCATTCCATGTATTTGCTTCCTCAGTGTATATTTTAGCTTTTAATTATTTTTCTGTATTATTTGGTTGTTTGTTATGTCTTCCACTATAAAGGAGCAGAGGTCTCCTTAGGAGCAGAGACCTTGGAGATTAGCTCTCTTCTTACTATTAGCTGCTCAGTAAATACTTTTTCAGTGAATTATAATGAATTAAATCGTATTTAACCACCGAAGCTTTAAAAGTTTGTAGCTATTTTTATTGAACATATTCTAAAAATACACCACGTAACTTTCTGCCTACTGAGTGCAGTGGTCCTGAGCTCATCCTCACGGTGATCAGTTTTTACACTATGCTCTAATAAAACGATGTCCTTAGGTCTTGTCTTTGTGCTAAATGACCTCAGATTACAGCCCTGTTTGTATTTAGCCCTTTTTAATATCTATACTTTAATCCCGGCAATGTTATGTGCCCCTTGCTAATGACAAAAGGGCCCACAATGAACAACTACTTTGTGAAGCCCTTGCCTTCACCTGTGATCTTGGCCACGGCTGCCACTGTCACCTCTTTGGTTGTCTTCTCCTGGTGATGTTTCATCGCTCTAAGTGTTCTTCTCATAGCGCTGTCTCATACACACTCCTGTTCACTTCATACACGCAAAGACTTGATCATTACATTTCTTAACAGGTAAGGATTTAGCTCATCTCAACCCTCCTTTATAGCTTTTTAGTTTTTCTTTTATTATTGTAACAGTAAATAGCATCTTCTGTTTGTTGTCCATCAGCTGTAAACTATATGTTTTGATTCTCTGATTGGCAACGTGAAGAGTAGCAGGTACACCCTTCCCCATCACCTGTCCTTTGTCCTCTTTGCCCACCAAGACCTGCTCTCGTGCTTCTTTATTGTCCCAGTTGTCGGCATTTACCTTCTGTGCCGGAGCTGTCGATACATCTGTGCTCCGTGTTAGGTTAATTTGGAATGAGGAACGGTAATAAGCAGCATTTTCATGATTTCTGCATACATAGCATTGACTGCAAAGCAGTAGGTTGTGATTGTTTTTCTTCCACGGTGCCATTGTTTATGATCTCTGTCCCACTCAAAAGAAAATGTTCAAGATCATTCTTTTTCATCTTCAATCAATGAAAATTGATACATTTTAATTTGCTTCATATTTAGACCTTGCATTTTATGTTGATTTCCTAGTTTTTCTTGCCGTGGGACCAGGTATCTTACTTGCTGTACTCTTAAATTTTTCCAGCTCCTTTTGATTAGAGTGATTGCTTAGAATCTATTCTCTTCGTCTCGAAGCCCAAATGAAGTCCTGCTCTCATTTGTACTTCACAGCTTCATAGTTGGATCATGGCTTTCTTACACATCTTCTGCCCTTCCTGCCTTACCGTACTGCTGGGTGCCCTTTTCCCTGTCTTACAGAGCCTCTATCATAGTCTTGGGTTTTCTTATATTTTTATTCATATTACCTGTTTGTTTATCAATTATATCCTAAGGTAATCTCACATTCCTATGTTTCGTAGAAAATATTTATCTCAAACTGGATTGTCTTGATAACAGAATTCTAGATGGAAAATTACACACCTTCAAAACAGTAAAGGAACTGATCTGTTATCTGCCAGTATCTACTGTTGCCACGACCAGTCCAGTCCCCTTCTTGTTGTCAGCCTTCGCTACGTATTGTTTTTCTTTGAAGACTTTTAGGATCTTCTTAACCATAATATTTTGAAATATTACAATACATCTAGGTGTTGATCTTTTCTTATTCCTTTTATTTAGAACCTGGAAAATAATTTTAATTTGAAGGCTGAGACTCTTTGAATTGTGTTATGTCTCCAGAAATATTTCCTTCACTTTGTCTCTCTTCTCTCTCTGGGTCTCCTTCTGTTTGAAAATTTCACTTATTGGATTAAATCGCTAGGTCCCTTTTTCTCCCTTACCACCAATATAGTCCTTCTATATGATTTTTTGTTCTGTGAATTTAATGAACTCTATCTTCTTATATTGATATAATTCGAATACTCGTATTTAAAATTTGTAAGTGCTCTCTTTTCTTTGTTCCCTTTTTGCATGACGTTGTGTGTGTGTGTGTGTGTGTGAGAATACATTTGGGAGTAGCAGCACTCCTGCACGTCCTCGCTGGTGTGCCAAGGACGCAGAGCGTCGTGTGAGCAAGGACAAGCCTTTAGTGAGATCATGTCTCCCACTGAACATAGCACAAGTTTGTCATCACTCACTCTACAAACGGGAAGTCCCTCAAACGTAAGTGTTCCTCTCTGGTAACGCAGTCAGTGGAGTGTGCAGGCAGCCACGAAGGAACCTTGGTGTCACCCTGTGAGACTTGGGGGCACAGGGAATCGATGCAAACGAGCATGAAGTAATAATGTCCTTTGTCTCTGACCCAGGAGTCTCGTGTCTTCTGCCCGCATCCATGACACAGTAACAGGCTTGCTTGTTCACAAGATAAAATCTCAGACCCAGCATCTTTGCTCTCCTGATCCAGTATTTTTCCTGGCTTTGTCCTGCAGTTCCCTTTGAGGGTGTAGCTTTCTCCATCAAAGTTTTTACACTAACTTATTTTCTAGATATTCTTAAAATCTCTTATCTGCTGCTGACTTTTACTTCAAGTAGTTTTGTTATTGTGGAAGTATACTTTTTTATTCTTTACTTCCATTTTTAGAAGAGGGACTCCCCCAAACTCCTGTGAATAATCAGCTACTACTGCACGGAAGAAGAACTCTGTCGTTTTATTAATGTTTGAGAAGTTGCTTACTGTTTCTCTGTTTTCATTACTGTGCTTACGTCATTCCAAACAGTTTCACTGTTCCTATTCCATCTCTACACCTAGATATACAGCTTTCTTATTGGGAAGTCAATAAAGTATCCAACAGAAATTTATTTAAAATAAATGAAACTGTGCTCTTAGGAGGAGGGCTTGTTTGTACTGTTTGTTTCTTTGTGCCGTTTTGCTTACTTTTAGGTTTGAATGTAAATGTATTTTTAGATAAACGGAATATATAAAAGTGCAGTTTAACCATATTTGCAATTTTAAAATATGTTCTCGTGATTATTGTTTCTGGGTTAAATTGAATTGCAAATATTCTTTTAAAAGCTCTGTGCCTCTTACTAAAATTATCAGAGGATTTAAATATATATATATATATATATATACACACACACACACACACACGCATGCACATATGTATATGAGATGCTGCAAAAAAGATTTTATCCTCTAGAATGAGAGTTGTTGAGCTTTCAAGTGCCAGGATGGGCTTTGGCCCATGCCATTTCAGTTACAACCCGTCCGCTCTGCCCTTGTGTAGCAAAAAAGCACCAGGAAAAAATGTAAATGAATCATTGTGGTTCTGTAGAAGTAAACTTTTATTTATGAACTACAAAATTGGGATTTTTTTATAGTTTTCCCATGTCATGGTATATTTCACTTTTTAAAATTTTCTACAACCATTTAAAAATATTTGAAAAAGCTATTCTTAGTTTACTTTCCATTATAACAACTGGCCAACTCCTTCCCTAGAATTAACATGTTGAACAGCGTTTTTAGTGCTGGAATACTGACACGTTTCCACTCTGCTCCGTCCTCCTTACCAGGCAAGCCAATGAAGAATATCAAATCCTGGCTAACTCCTGGCGCTATTCGTCTGCCTTTTGCAACAAACTCTTCTTCAGCATGGTGGACTATGATGAGGGGACCGATGTTTTTCAACAGGTAAAAGCAATATTCTGTTTTTCTAATATATTTAAGAGTTGGTTATGTTGATACCTTTTGGCTTGTCAGATAAAAATACCATTTATTGAATAAGTTAAATACAACAGTAGGTTTAATAAATTATTTGATATGATTAAAATGCAACTATTTATTTTTATCATTGAATAGTGTTTGCCATTAGTGAGGACGGTAAACACATTTAACTTTTGCATTGTGGAGGAAGTGTGTTTTTTCAGCATTCAGTGGCCAGTTTACCTGCATTAACCTTACATGTATTTTGATATTTAATTGTATGTGGTTAAGGTAGTATTGTGCAGAAATTTATGAAATTTTATATTAAAGTCAATGTAAGGTTTTACTTAATCTTCACTTCTCCCTATATGGGAGATAGATAATTTTACATATAAAATATTAGGTATTTTTAAAAAATGTTTGTTCTCTGTCGTGGAATGAATTATATCCCTCCCAAATTCATATGTTGAAGCCCTAGCCCTAATAATGACCGTTTTCGGAGATAGGGACCTTAAGGAGGTTAGATGACGTTGTAAGGGTGGAACCCTAACCCCCTCCTTCAGCTGGTGTGGAAGGAGGACACCGCTTCCTAGATGTGATTTCTCGGAAGAGCTCCGAGGGGTGTATGTGCCCAGAGGACCGAGGGCCATGTGAGGGCAAACAGAAGAAGGTGGCCCTCTTCAGACCAGCGAGAGAGGGCTGACCAGCAGCAGACCCTCCTGGAACCTGATCTTAGATGCTCAGCCTCCAAAACTGTGAGGAGATAAGTTTCTATCCTTTGCGCCACCCACCTGTGGTGTTCTGTTACAGCAGCCTGGGCAGGCTGACACGTTGTCATTTGCAGTCATGTATCAGTGCCTCCCAAATGTAAAGCTTACTGCACCACCAGGCATCATTGATTAGTTTGGGTATCTTGGTCTATTTGATTTTTCTCAACATATGACACTCTCTGGCATAATGCTTTACTGGGTCATGGAAAAGCATTTAGTTCTGTAAAGAATCTAGCCCACTAACAGTAAATGTGTCATTAGTGAGTATTTTTGCGTATTTGCTTCCAGATTGATTATATGTTCATTTTTGCCAATTTCTAGTTGAGTAAGATAAATTCCCTCTTTTGCCTTCACTACCCTTTACCCTCAGTCTTTCTTTTAGTATTTTTTTACTTATTTCGTCCTCCAAAAATTTATTTTGCATTTTGAGGATGTTTATTTCTGTTCATCTATTCAGCAAATATTATTGAGTACCTTCTCTCCTATAGGAGCAATGAATGGCAAGAAAAGCATACACAATTCTTCCCCATGAGGAGCTTACAGACTGGGGTGCTAATAATGATAGTAATAATAATACCATGAATATAAAGAAAAACACATACATAAACATGTAACTTCAAATAACCTTATAAAGGAAAACCACAGTACTGTAAGAACTGAGTAGTCTTTCCTGTAATTTATAAGTCTCTACAGAATCTCCGAATTGGTTTTAGAGGTCATCAGATGCAAGTGCTATTCATTCTGTATGTGTGAATCCTCTCTGCTATGTTAGGAACTAGTCATCCAGACCCAAGCTGACAGCTAGAGCAGGAGCCCCACCTCTGTGCTGGCCAGGCTGTAAACTAGACGAAGAAAGTAGGTTGGATTAGTTTCACTTTGTTATGGTATTTTTATTTATGTACATACTTAGTGTATTAGACACATTAGTTCTTCATTTGCACAAGTATGTAAATATTCTGTCTCCTATATTTATTACAAAAGCTTAGTTTTCTTAAGAAAATAAATCTTTCATGGAACCACTCATGTTTCACTTTTCTCCTAACTATGGTAAGAAATAAAACTGGCAAAGCGCCATGCAACTGACCCTTGTCTCACTGTTGAGGATACACTTGGGTGTGCGTGGGGGACCGCGGCACGCTGGAGGGACAAGCTTGACCTCCGCGAGCGATGTGGCTCAGTTCTAGGTGGAAGAAACGCAAGCCACGTGCAGATAGATCTGTTTTTCAAGAGGAGATCCAAATACGAGTTTCTGTATGAAATTTCTCTCTAAGATATGGGGAATTAATTCAGATTAAACAAAACTGGGGGACCAGGTAGCCCTGTCTTTGTGCTCGTACGGGCTGTAGCCTGCCAGTGTACAAGCGTACGGCTGCACTGTTAGATGCGGTCGCTGAAACCTTTTCTATGCTTTAAACACCTTCTAAAGTTTGGCACAGATAGTCAAGATTGTTTTTAATTGAAAAATCTTCTCAGGTTAATTCCGACTCAGCAGAATCACGAGTGTAGAACTGCTTTGTCTCTTCCAAACCTTGCCCTCGGCTCAGCAACAAGAGTTTTCCTTTTCAAATGCAGAAATGCATAAAAGTTAGAGCAGTTCATGATTTTTATGGGGAATTATAACCCACAAAAATGGAAAAGTATGTATTTTGTTTTACTTGAGACCCACTAAAAGATGTTCAGGTCTTGTGTTTTCTCTCATTAACTATTGAATCACATTTTGTTGAAGTCCTCTCTCCACACTGATGTTCTAAAGCACTGCCAGCAATACTGTGGTGTCAGAATACGGCATTAATAACAAGTGCGGAGATTTCGCAATTCCTGGCACTTTGGGGACTCGCTGGTTAAGCACTTGGATTACACATGACTCCCGTGTGATGGCCAAGGCTAAGCGCCCAACACCAGGCCAGGGAGTTAACGAACACGGTGTGTGAGAAGGCGCTCTGGACCAGAATCAGCCCCAGGTTGCCCCCTGCTGTGTTGTGCCCTTGGAGGATTTGTATGTTTTAATTAAGATGAAAGCTCAATGACATGATTGTCTTTAGTTCTAAAATTCTAGGATGTTAAACCTGAGTATGAGTGTTCTGACCGCTCACTGCAGGGACTTCTTCCCTTGAAACCTTACATTTACGCGTGGGCTGTAGCTGTCCCTGGAGCACCTGTCTGTCAGGGACTCACGCGTGAACAAGGCCTGCAGTGGGAGAACACACCGGGGAGAAAGGAAGTGACTCTTGTCCCACTTAAAAGATGTTAAAATGTCCATCTCGTGCAAGCCCACTGCTGATACTGCTCTGGCCTTACCTCGATGCCAGCCGTGGTCTAGCATATGCTGACCTTGCTTTCTATGGGAAATGCTAAACTACAGTTCACATCAGGGCCAAAAATGTTTTGGCTTCTAATTTCATAATTCCTGGGCAGCAAGAAGTTTATTTTTGCAGTTTACTTCTCAATGTAAGTTAATCTGATACTTGTTTTTAGATATCATATTCTCAATAAGCAGCATTTATACTATTGCTAGTACTCTGTTCATATACTTTTCAAATAGAAATTACCTTTAGAAAATAATAGTGAGATATAACCATTTCAAGACAGTTGAGTTAATAGATGATTGAACAGAAAAAGATTATCATTGTGAATTTCTGTGACAGTTGGGTAAATTCAAGTTGTTTAGGGCCAAAATGTTGGCTTCTGTTATAGTTATCATTTTTAAACAGTTTGTCAAGTTTAACAGAGAAGTCAATCTACCGCTAATTTGTTTGAAATTAAGACCATCGTGTATTGATATTGTTCATTCAACGCCAGTACTTTTTCTTGAATAACTGCTCAAGGAGCGGAATAGTGCATGCACTGCCAAATCACAATATTTCTATTTTGCACTTTAAATTACTTCATTCTTTACTTTAATTACAGACTTCAAGATAGAAAAGGGATGAAATGGCTGATAAAATACAGAGGATACCACTGAGAATATGAATGATGTATGTTAAATGTGAAGGTTCAGCAAACAGCCAGATTTATAAGTTCTTTCTTATTCAGTAGTGCATTAAGGTGAATAAAACAGTAATTAAGTTCTGAAAAACACTTGAGTTTTCATAATAAATTCTATCTTCCCGAGACTGATGCAGAAAAAAATAAAAGGTGAGATTAGGGATAAAAAAAGATCGCTGGGCTGATGTTATATTCAGTGTTTTCTCGCCTCGTGTTTTACAGCTGAACATGAACTCCGCTCCCACGTTCATGCACTTTCCTCCCAAAGGCAGACCTAAGCGAGCTGACACTTTTGACCTGCAGAGAATCGGATTTGCTGCTGAACAGCTAGCGAAGTGGATTGCTGACAGGACGGATGTTCATGTATGTTTTTATTCCCCACGGTTTTAATAGTCGGCTAATTAGTTTGGTTGGTTAGAGCATTGTACTAAGGCCGCAGGATTTTTTAAATTCCTCTATGCAGCATTTTTCCTTGCTTAGAGAAAACTGTCTGATAGCTATATGGCGTAAGCTAAACAAACTCTGGCTGAGTTAGGTGAATTTAAATGGTTTTTAGAACAATGATATTTTAAGAACCATTAAACAGTATGTGAGTTAGGCACAAACTAATTTCAGAGGGTGAAAAATATGCTGAATATTTCTCAGTGGTATTAACAATCAAAGGAATTCAATTAAAAAGCAGGATGTATAATTTTTATCTATCTTTTGGGCAATTAAAAATGGGATAACACTCCCTTCTCATGAGCTGAGAAGATGCCACATTTATTATTCTCGAGACTATAAATTGGTATAACTAAAAGTAGGTGTCATATGTTTATGGAATTTATCTAAAGGATATAATTGAGGGTGATTGAAATTATTTAGCCATAGAACTTTTTTTAAAGAGGAAGTCACTTTATTCTTTTTTAAATTAGATTTATTGGAGTAACCTTGGTTAATAATCTCATGTAAGTTTTAGGTGTACAGCTCTATAAACCTTGTTTGTATACTGCATCTTGTGCTCCCCACCTAAAGGGCAGACTCCTCTGTTGCCTTATATGTGACCCTCTTGCTCTTCTTCATCCCACCCTGCTCCCTTTCTGGCAACAACCATACTGGTGTCTGTGTCTGTGAGTCTGTTTGTTTGTTCCTTTCTGTTTCACACCCCACATAGGAGTAAAATCGTGTGGTTCTGTCCTTTTCTGTTGACTTGTTTTACTTACCATGATACAGATACTCATCTGTTTGTCACAAATGGCAATAATTAATCCTTCTTATGACTAAGTAGTATTCCATTGTATATAGGTACCACATTCTGTTCATCCCATCATCAGTCATTGTTTCCATGACTTTGCTCTTGTGAATAATGCTGCAATGAGCATAGGGGTGCATGTGTCTTTATGAATAAATATTTTCAGTTTTTGTTTCTTCAGGTAGATAACCGAGAAGAGAGATTGCTGGGTCACATGGTAACTCTTACTAATTTTTTAGGAACCTCTGGACTATTTTCCACAGAGGCTATGTCAGTTTACATTCTCATCACAGTGAATAAGGGTTTCCTTTTTCCACACCCTCTCCAGTGCTTGTTATTTCTTGTCTTGACAATAGTCATTCTAACAGGTGCAAAGTGGTATCTCAGTGCGGTTTTGATTTTCATTTCCCTTATAGCTAGTGAAGTTGTACATCTTTTCATCAGGAGTGTTGAGCATCTGTTGGTCATCTGTATGTCTTCTTGGGAAAAGTGTCCGTTCAGGTTCTCTTTGCATTTTTAATTGGAGTGGTTTGTGTTACCGTTGTTGAGTTGTATGAGTTCTTTATACATTTGGGATATTGGTCCCTTATTGGAGATGTTGTTTGCAAGTGTCTTCGCCCATTTGGTTGGTTGCCTTTTTGTTTTGTTGATGGTTTCTGTTTGCTGTACAAAAACTTTTGGTTTGTTCTAGTCCCATCCATTAATTTTTGTCTTTGCTTCCCTTGCCTTTGGGGTCAAGTGCACAAAAGCTCCTCTGAGACCAAGGTCTATAAGTTTAGTTCCTATCAGTTTAGTACCTTTGTTTTCTCTTATGTGTTTTTTTGTTTCAGGCCTTATATTTGAGTTAATTTTTGTGTATGGTGTCAGCAGTCTAGTTTCATTCTTTTACATATGGCTTTCCAGTTTTCCCAGCACCGTTTATTGAAGAGGCTTTCCTTACTCCATTATTTGTGCTGTCTTTATCAAAACATTTTTTGCGCCCCGCTGGTGTGGCTCAGTGGACTGAGTACTGACCTTTGGACCAAAGGGTTGCTGGTTGGATTCCCAGTCAGGGCACAGGCCTGGGTTGTGGGCAAGGTCAGGTCTCCAGTAGTGGGTATGCGAGAGGCAACCACACATTGATTTTTCTCTCCCTCTTTTTTTCCCTCCCTTCCCTTCTAAATTAAGTAAATAAAATATTTTTTAAAAAAACATTTTTTGCTCATATACTTGTGGGTTTATTTCCGGGACCTTAATTTCGTTCCATTGGTCTGCCAATACCATACTGTTTTGTTTACTGTAGGTCTGTAGTAACATTTGAGGTCAGGGAGTATGACAAACTCCAGTCGCTCTATTTCAGGCCCTTCTTGCATCTACTTATCTGCCCTACCCAGCACTTAATTAGCCATGTCTCCTTGGAGCCTTGGTTTCTTTTAGCGGTGAATGTTATCAGAACCAAGATCTGTACATACTGTGAAATCATGAGTCCTTATGAATGATATCTCCTTTTGAAAAGTAGCTTTTGTGTACATCATCATGAAAGTGAAAGGACAACCCACAGAAGGGGAGAAAATACATACAAATCATTTTTCTTAAAAGGAACTGACATCTGGTATATTTAGAGGGCTCTTACAACTCAATATATAAAGATTGTTTAGTTAAAATGGGTAAAGGATCCAAATTAACATTTCTGCAGTAAAGTATACAAATGCCCAATAAGTGCTTGAAAAGATGCTCAGTATCATCAGTTATCAGGGCACTGCAGTTCAAACCAGAATGAGATACCACTTCACACACAAGGATGGCTGAAATCAGTGAGATAATATATGTTGGCAAGTAAGTGGAAAAACTGGAACCCTCATATACTACTGGTGGGAATGCAAAAGAGTGTCGCCACTTTGGAGAACAGATCGGCAGTTTCTCAATCTATTAAACATAGAGTTGCCATAAGACCCAACAATTCCATTTCTACACATACACCCGAGAGAAATGTAAACATATGCCCCTACAAAACACTGTGTGATAATGTTTATAGTAGCATCATTCATAATAGTCACAAGGTAGAAAAGACCCAGTGACCTTCAGCTGATTAATGGGTAAATAAAATGAGGTATTTGCATGCAATGGAGTATTCACCCATGAGAAGAAATGAAGTATTGACTCATGCTACAACAAGGATGCACCTTGAAAACATTGTGCTAAGGGAAATAAACAGTCCTGTTACAAAAGACCACACTTTGCATGGAAGTCCAGAATAGGTAGATCTGTCGAGACAGAAAGCACATTAGTGGTTGCTTGGGGCTGGAGGGTAAAGGAATAAGGGAGTGAATGCTAAAGGGCCTGTACGGGCCTCCCTTCGAAGTGGTTCTGATCTTCTGACACTGACTGTGGAGACGGTCGCACATGGTGGTGTATGTGCTGAGAACTATTGACTTGTACAGTTTGAACAGTGCGCTGTGTGGTGTGTGGGTTATGTCTCAATAAAGCCCTTTGTAAGAAGCCTCTTTTAAAAAGTCCTAACTTGAAATAATACAAATATTATACCCCGACCTCACCTTTACTGTTTACTAGATGATCCTATATATTCCATGGATTAATCAGAACAGCTCTGGGTTGAATTCAAGTAGGTGTTGCATATATTTATCCATATTCACCTAAAATGAAGAGTGGACTTTTTACATAGCCATGAGATTTTAAGGTATATATTTTTTACTTCAAAAGAGGGAAAGGTATGTTAATGCCAGGTGTGAAATTAAGGTAGCCCCTCTCTAAATATTTGCATTGAAGTTTAGAAGAGCTTAGAATATGGGCAAGAGAAGAAATTAGTATTTTTCTTTCACTTGAAATTTTCCCTGCATTTTTGCAGATTCGCGTGTTCAGACCACCCAACTACTCCGGCACCATTGCCTTGGCCCTGTTAGTGTCCCTCGTTGGTGGTTTGCTCTATTTAAGAAGGAACAACTTGGAGTTCATCTACAACAAGACTGGTTGGGCCATGGTATCACTGGTATGTTATCACATTGTACTTTTGTTTCCTATTTTTTGCAAAATAGCATGAGTTGTATAAATTAACAAAATGAGACGGATTATTACTACAATGGAAACACATTGCACCCTGTTTTTCAGTGCATAGTCTTTGCTATGACTTCTGGTCAGATGTGGAATCATATCCGTGGACCTCCGTACGCTCATAAGAACCCGCACAATGGACAAGTGGTAGGTGCATGTCCTAAGCATCACCATTCTGAACTTCAGTTCTGCTTTATGTAGGAATCAAAGTATGTGTATTTAGTAAGAAAGGATTGTGTGGGTAAGTCGTGTTCTTTCTCTTATCACTTACTACCTCTGCCGTGTACATATTAGTGTAACGACTGTTCCAGTTTTGATGAAAAAATCAGTGTACCTGCAACATCAAACTTATATGCAAACACTGGTTTTTCAATTTTGTATATACTGCTATGGCAATAATATATAATGTCACAAGAGAAAATAGGAATAGTTTGTAGGCAGTGTCTCATCAATGGTAAATTTAATTTCAGAAGAGATGGATTAAAACAGTATTAAGAACTCTGGCAGTCACTGTTTTAGAATTCTAGGAACTGTTTGCCATGAAATTAAAAGTGAAATTGATGTGTAGTTAAATCACTAGCAGAGTTCACATTAGTAACTGCTACTGAATTCACATAACTTAGTTTGTTGTCTTCCCTTTCCTTTTGGTTGGTGGGAAATACTGTAATAGCTCAATTCTGCAAAATACTGTTTTTGAGGCTTAGGTTGGTGAAGGTTAATAGTCATTTCAAAATGTGCCTTTATTTTGGAAATTAGGTTTTGAGAGAATAAAGTAATGATGTGCACTGTGTCCCCATCACCAAACTTAATCGATTACCAACTCGTGATCAATAGAGTTTCGCCTGTTCTCTCACCCAGTTTCCTTTCCCTGCCATTGGATTCTTTGGAAATGCCATTTCATTTCACACATAAATATTTCAGTAGATGTTTCTAAAAAGATAAGGTCTTCTTTAAAAGTCATAACCACAGTAACACTATCACACCCAAAATAATAATTGCTATTTCTAAAACTGCAGTTCTGAGCAGAGTAAAATGATGTTATAAATTCTCTATAGATATAAATGTATATAATGGAAGCTTATGAGGTTTTTTCTTCATTACTTATGAAGTTTTTATCTCATTGCTTATAGTACTTTATATATTTCTAATATTAAAGAAAGCTAACAAGTTACATGTATTTCATCTTTCTACATTGTTAGTGACTTTCTCTGAACTTCTTTTAGAACTATAATATAGGGATATCATTCAATTTGTCCTTTGTATGTTCCCCCAAATACCCAATCAGGTGTTAGGGACTAGTTACAAATGATCAGAGTTATGGTTATTGATACTACATAATGATGTAGTCTCACGTGGTCGTGAACATTTTCAGATTTCTCCTGCAGGTGCCAAGGGTAGGGGACAACATGGGGCTCCTTGGGTAATCAGCTGCCATAGCAGTTCCAGTGTGGTTTTTGCTATTTGTATATGTATTTGTATATGTTTTTGAAATCTGTCATTAGAGAGAGGAGTAATTTGAGTGACTTTAATATTCAAAATTAAATAATAAAATGTCAGAAGCCATTGTTGAGCAGTGAATTACTGCCTTCCCTTCAAGGTGTTCCACAAATGCATTATTATCATTTTGCTCGCAGAGATTGGCATGGCCTTTAGGAAAAGGCACTGTGAGGCCCACACGGCATGTTAGTAAATACATTTTTCTATGCTTTTAAAAGGGAAACACTTTTAGCTTTTCTGTATCTTAATAAAAAATAATAGAGGTGATGAACTTTATGTCTATAACCAAAATATTTTAAAGATAAATTTTGTCCTAAGCTCTTCATCCCCTTGTATTTAAATAGAGTATTAGGAATTGGAGGGGAAAAAATCGTACAGGTCTTGGAAATACAGGTATTTCTTGCCACAAAGACGATCGCATGAGTATACTCTCAACCAAAGAGACATGGATGAAGAGTTTGAGGTTTGTGTGAGCGGTCGATTGTAAGCAGTACCGACAGGGCCAGAAAGCCACCTACATAGCACCCTGGACAGGAGAGAAGAGCTTTGCCCGTTAGTGTGTAACTCTTCATTTGTTCTACCTTTTAACAAACTGTAGCAAAACTTCCTCCTTTTTAATATGCATCATGTTAACATACATTGAAATAGGAAATTGTTTAAATTTTGTTTTAACAAATTGATTTGCATAATTTTTTACACTACTGGAACAAAATAGAAGATTAACTTTGCTTCATAAAATGAAATGGTTACCGGTTCAGGATTTTTACTTAAACAATGCTTGTCCAGTAGAATGCTAGTAGTAAATGTTTTCCTTTATAATACATGTGTTTAAATTTCAAACTGTAACTTGAAAAGTAGCACTGTCCTTCTTTGGTAACTTTCATATTTTAAACTATATATTTCTTGAGAAATTTTCATGTAGGATTTATGTTTTTGAAAATAACTATAATGAGGCTATTTATATAGCCTTTCCAGTGATATAGAATAAAATTTTACAAATGAGGAAGAGTAATATTGCAAGAGAAAGTAGTAAAGGTGAGATCAGAAGGGTGTACAATATAACACAACTAAGAGTCATTTGAGGAATAAGTTGATAGTAATTAGACTACATTATTTTGAAATACAAAGTTTACACATGATATTATTAGTAACAGTAGTTAATATTTAAATCTTGATGTTAAAATCTATTTTAAATTTTTGATAGAAGTCTAAGGGTCTTAAATATATAAATCATGGGTGAAACCTAGTATTTTCTGTATAGAGATTGACTAATTAAATTGGGGTAAAAGATCACGAAATCTCCATAATCTTGACAATTCTTTAAATTAATATGGGTAAGAATTAATAAGGCCCTAAAGATATGTATGGCCAGATGTCATCCTAGAATGTATTTCTCTAATATCTGCTTTTCTCTAGTACTCGATTGTTCAAAATATTCTTTGAAATATGATGCTTTGACTTCTTTATTTCAACTTCTTTATTTACAATTTACTTTCTGATTATAAAATTAATAAGTACTCATTATGGAAATTTAGAAAATTATAAAATATTAGGTACCAGTGAAAGCCACCATCTTATCAACAAGAGTGAGCATATTATACAGTTTAGCAAACTGCCTATCTATAGCTAATTGATTAGAGAATTCTGTTGCATTTAGCTATATATATATTATATAATATAATATATATTAATATATAATATACTATATGATAAATAATATATATTATAGTATAATATAGTATAGTATATAATATTGTATTATAATTATATAATACACATAAGTTATATAATTATATATATTATATATTATATTATAGAATTACATATATATAATATATATAATGACATATGATGATGGCATATATATATATATATATATATATATATATATATGATGACAAATATGAGATGTAGAATACTAAAAGCCAAGCTAGACATCCAGAATATAAGCAGAAAGCCTAAATGGCCACTGAAAATTGAATGGTCTTTTCTTACATTAAGCAAATATTATATATGAACCACTCTATATACACACAGTTTAACAAAGGGAATGCTTGCAGTGTATATGTTCCCAAGAAGAGGCTGTACAAAACAACAGCCAAACAGAAGTGAAGAGAGATTTTTCAGGGTTGAGGTGGTGGCAGACCACAGGTACCTGATGCACCTCTACTTGCATTTTTGTTGAAACACTGATATTCATCAAAATGCAAAACAGGCAACAAAATTACAAAGTAGAGCTATTAAGTCAAAGTGCAGAACTTCCATTGACATCAGATCAATTGAAGTAGACACTGGTGCACAGTTTTTTGCATTTGTAAACATCAGAGTTCATTTTACGCTTTCACCAGTATGCTTACATCTATTTTACTTATTCCCAGAAGTTTCTGGATTCATTTTTGGGTGTCACAACTGTGGGGCATGTACCCACTACTTACAGCTAGTGGTAGAGGCCAGGGATGCTGCTCAACAGCCTGCAGCGCACAGGACAGCCACCCAGCAAAGATTCATCAGACACAAAATGTCAGGGTGTTAAAACCGAGAAGGCTTGCTGTAGAGCTATAGAGAGGCTGAAATATAATTTTGTTGTAGATATTTCACAGCCAAGGAAACCATCCCATCTAGCATATATACTGAAAGGATCACAGTGACTGACCTACAGTGTAATGTTTAGAATGGTTGTATATATTGAATGCCATCAGTAAATACGATTGATATGTAAATAGTTTGGGTATAATCATTTTTTTAAATATACCTTAGAAAACATGATTTACTCTGTGACATTTTATATGCTTTAAAAGAGGTTTACATAAGAGCAAGTGAAGTCTTTGGCCCACAAAGTCATTGTTAGGACAAACCTGAAGTGTTCAGGCAGAGAAACAGAGAAAGAAAACAGGGCTGAGTTCTTCCTAAGTGCTGCCTCTTACCAGCTGTGGGATTTGGGGCAAGTTCCTCTGGTCCTCTATGAAATGAGTCTAATACTACTTTTCTTACCTTGTAGTTGTTTGAGGTAAAATGTGATAATACACGTACAAGGACTTTTGAAAGCCTTAGTTTGAAATGGTTCTTCTCCAAACCAAAGACAGTGATCCGAGGGAAAGTAGTTTCTATCAGAGGGAAGGAAACGTGGGGTAGAGGTGGGAGACCTAGTCCAGAAAGGGGAGGCAGTCAGAAAAGGTGTCAGCCCCGCCGTGGGGTCTCAGGAGCCCCTGTGGAACACAGGTGGTGCGGGGAGCTGCGGTCCCCATCAGTCGCTGGCCGAGTGCTTTTCCCTGGGAGGGGCATGGCTTCCCCGGACTGGCGGGCTTCAGCTGTGCTTTGCGCACGGAGGGCGTGGCGGGGGCCGGGCACATGGGCAGGCGCTCACAGGCAGTGTCTGCTGCACCGTCCACTGACACGCCAGGTTCATCCCTTTGTAGTAGATTGCTCAGCAGAGGAAAGAAAACATGAAGAAACCGACTTTTGAATTGGTGTTTTTCAGATGCCACACTCTGGAAGAAATAGCAACAAATAGTACTCAAAATGTCTCATGAACTGTGGGTGGTTTTTAAGCCAGTATCATATGTGTCTTGTAAATAGTCCTTAAGGAAAAGTGTAAAAATATATACATAATTTAAGAATATGTATACCCATCAGAAATGACTTTATCCTTA